GAGGGTTCTCTTTCATAATCATAACCTCCACTTTTTTGGATGATATTATTTCTCTGAATTGGATTAAGGAGTGATTTTTGAGCCTTGCTGTCCTAAATACTTGTGTCCAAGTTCTTCATTTTCTGTTAAGAACATTGAAGGTCCCCTTTTTAAAAATCTTATGTTTTTTTACTTAGCCCTTCATTTGCAGCTTGTGTAAATCTGCCTACCACCACATGTGCAAAGATTCACAAATTTTTGTGGCAGGCCATTCAGAATGTTGTATGCACAATGCTTGCATCACATGATGTCAACAGCAGTTACCTATGCTAACATCATATGAGGTAAAGTTGCAGTTGAAGGGTTAGTATTGTTTAACAGTCTTGCTTTATGAATATTTCTCTAAAGGAAGGTTTCCTATATTCTTCTAGCCATAAGTCTACATATAGTAGCATTCTTCTGTTTAATGGTCAGGAATTCATTATGAACCAAAGGTGTAGGTGCAAAACTTGTTACCAGTGGTGCCATTGCTTGCATATGCAGTGTCATGTTACTGAATTAGAATAAACAAATTGTTTGAGTAAAGTGCAATTAATTCTCCTATTGAAATAAGTTTAATAAATACAGATGATCATAAAGAACTGCCACTTATTTTGTTCAATTGTCTAGAAAGCAGTGTATGTATAAAGAATTTAGTTCACTATAAAAATTTATGTTTCCAGTTGTTTTTTCCTAGTTTGAAGTAAAAAAAATGACCATTAATTTTTGTTGTAATAACATATATTCCAGACCCCCCCCCTTTTAAGGCTCACCAACATTGATACCTGCTAAACTTTTAGCTTATCCTTACATCCAAAAAACTTTAAATTTAAAGATATACGAGATCTAGATTACTTGTGTACCTTCTATTCAAATATATTAACCTGAGATTTTCATACTCTAACCTGAGTGCACCTGTTTGTTTGGAATCACTAACTTTTCAAAGTTTTTTTTTTTTTTATAGGTAATATACATTTATGTAAATGCTATCAGTAAATATATATTGTTCTTGCATACACACCTAATACATATAGGTGTTCCCAATTTGGAAACATTGACATGAACTATAATATCATGCTAGGAATTGATGACCTTTTGATTTTAGTAACATTTATTAAAATATTGTTGGTTATTGTTTACTCATAAATTATATCAGCATAATTTTTGGCAGAAGTTCTATTTAAAAATGAAAACCTTTCCTTATACATTGTTTATTTTGAAATTAGAGTCATGTCTTTGTCTCATTTCCTTCATTTTTTCTTTCTGTAATTTTAACCTCACATGAGACAAGGGAGGTCTTTCTTGTTGATCCAGAAATGCTAACCCATTGTGGCTTTTTTGTTTTTGCTATTACTTCGTGATAACTTGCATTGGCTGAAATGTGGTTGTTTGACACTATTTTTACTAAAATAATGACTCTGTTCATGGCCAGGTCAAGAAAAATGTGATAGGGAACAGTAACAGAACTCTGGAGCATTTAGCATACAAATACAAGTGTCCTCATTGTGGAATATGCTTCAAAAGAAGTTGTTGTGGTTGTTCATGTGATGGATTATTTCCTGCAGTAAAATATGTCAAAAGCATGGTGGGAAGCAGCCAATGAATCCTCTGGTAATTCAGAAACAGACATGAGAAATAAATTGAATTCCAGCTACTTTATGGAGGAATTTACTCTTGGTTGGGCAATATGTCCACCACATGATGAAATATATGGCCATAAGTTTACAGATCAATTCAAGGATGATATACTTGAAATGTTCAAGAAAGATCTTGATGATAAGTGAAATATAATGGGCCCTGGAAGAATGCTTGAAAAACTGTGATCTAAATATCTTGATCAATTCAATATACCATCTGACATGAAAATTTGTCACTGTATCACAACCCTGATAACAAAGTACAAACAACATGGCAGGTACCCTTGACATTAATTCTTCCAGGGAAATACAGCAACCTTATAGAGACATAATGATTTCCATTGTGTCTGAATCGAAATACACAATTAGACCTAAAATTGCAGTCTGTGAGCTCAAGGTGCAGCATAAAGACAATGGTTGCAAGTGATGATCAATTGAAATCATTTGTTTCTCGAATGCAGTCGCAGCAAAAGAAGCAAACAGCTACTATCCCATAATAATTGTGTTACCATGCCTATGTGCTTTACTATATACATCCACTTATAAACAAAACACCATAAATTTTGAAATATTTATTCACTTTTTGTAAAAAAATATTATGAGCGTCTCTTGGTTCAAAATATACATAATTTTTAACAGTTTCTGCATTGGAAAAGTTTTGGTAACAACAACCCCATAGTAAAAAGATCCCCTTGGCTCATATGACAAGTGTTTCATGCTTAAAGTAAAATCATCTTCATAATGTTTCACTTCTGTAAACATGAACTGTTTTACTAGATATCACATTATATTTTCAAGTACTAGAATTAGATTATTATTCTTATATTTGCTTAAGGCAGACTGGAGTGTATTATGAGACATTTCTATCAAGGATTGGTAGCACCTGACAATAGGTGTATTAGTGAAATAGTGTGATGATAAAGATACATTCTAGAAATATAGGCCACTATTTTATTTACCTCACTAGAAGTAGAATTAAGATGTACTAGAGTTCATCTTAAATTTACTAGATACACAGTTGTAATAATAAAAGTAACAAACATAATGAGATTTTAGAATGAGTCTAATTTTTTTCTGATTGAAAACCTGTAGTTTTACTAGCTTGTGCACAAAAAGTTCTTTGTAATATAAATATCAAAAATTCATACTGTACCAGTGACCACACACAGTTGGTATAAACACATCAAAGTTGTGTGTTATGAGTTTTCCTTAATTTTATGCTAGACACTTGTAGAGTTTGACTAGACTTCATGGTCAGAAAGATGATTTGATGAACATAATAAATTTTTTGTAATGTACTTAAAGAATAAAAAAAAGAATTACTGTCTTTTTGTTGGGCAAGTTTTACTATCCAAAACCAAACCTTACCTTGTTCAAGTCTTGCATAATGGTGGGAATTTTTATTTTTTTTGTCCAAGTTACTGAAGAGGGAACTTTGTAGAAGTGTCTAGATAGTATTATAGTGACTCAGTTTAAACATCCTGTTTCTGGCTGCGTGTACTTGATAGATAATAATTTTTAATGTCATTTTTTTCTTTAAAAAGTTCCCACTGGAAAATAAGGGAAAACTTGAAAAATCTGGGAAAAATTTAAGAGAAACATTCTAAAGTAGTTGGGATCTGTAGCTATTAGAACTATATGGAAATTGTTTCATTTTTGGTTCGTTGTTGACAGTTTATTATGATGATATTAACACTTTATAACTTGTTAAAAATACAGTAAACTTAAAAATTTCTGCTTTAACAGCTCATTTTTAGAATAAATTAACACTTTTCTTTGAAAAAAGTCTGGGAATGTAAAACTATTTTTTGACATATTGTTTAGGCAGAGTATTCATGATGAAACTTAGTTGAATAGATGGCAACTGCCTGTTGTAGAAACACAAGTGCAGAGGGTGATGTTTCAAAAGTCTTCTGCCTTTCATCTTAATTCTACTTTTCTTAAATGTCTACTTCTGGTAAGGTAAATAAAATAGTGGCCTATATCTCCAGAATGTATCTTTATCATCATACTGTTTCATTAACACAGCTTTGTCAGGTGCTGTTGTTATCCTAAAAGTTTACCAATCCTTAACAGAAATATTCCAGTTTGCCCTAAGCAAAGTTAAGAATAATAGTCTATTTCTAGTACTTGGCAATATAATATAATATCTAATAAAACAATCTGAAGACGAAAGGCAGAAGACTTTCGAAACATCATCCTCTACACTTGTGTTTTTACAACAAGCAGTTGCTGTCCATTCAACTAAGTTTCATCAATGTAAAACTAATCTGAAAACCTTTGTATTATATGCACTTGATTAGAAATTAATGTTTTTTATCGTATTGTGGACTTATGATATTCATGTATTGCTTTAGCCTGTGAGGATCTGAAGCTTAATGAAGATTAATGTTTAATACTGATAATGCATTTACATACCAGGTGATAGTATACTTATAGATTGTGAGTGAGTGTGTAAGGCTGATTACATTTAAAGAAGTTCAAATGGATTGCTTATTGTTACTAGAGCTAATATTAAAAATGCTAGGGATTATGTAATATTAAATAAAACTGTAATATGATAAGTCCAAAAATGAATTTGGAATTGCTTTGTCATCAAATAAAGATGGTTTGATGCTCCTGTGTTTTAGACATTATATTTCATAACAGACTACTTGTTTGAAAAACTCAGTTTGAATATTCTATAATGTTAGGATACTAAAGCTATTATAACTTCTAGCAGTGCTCTGTGGATTTCAATCTGTAGTGGTATTCATTAGCTGATAAAAAAAATTTTCAAATCTGTATTATTCGTGGCAGAAGGAGAAAGTATATTTCTATAAATATTGCTATATTTTGTTAATGTGATATACGCATGTTTAGGGGGGAAATCTATGTTAACTAGCATACAATAAATGCACCCAGTTATGTGAATGAAAATTAATGTATTGTTATTTAAGTAAAGATGGTTTCATCATATAACATTACATGTTGTACAGTTAATGTTTTAAGTAGACATTTTATTTTTCTGTATTAAATGAGTCTTGTGATTTTTGTCCTTTAAACCTATAAGCAAAAATTTTTAAAGGTGCACCAAAATGTATAATTGCTTTGGTATGGATTTTATTTGTTCAAATGAAGTGTATAATTAATTGCTTGTATGCAAATACACAGAATGTACTGAAATGCACCTAATTTTGAATTATTTCCACACTGTGAATTTTACTTCATTTAAGATTTTATTAAAAATTTTAAGTGTCTAGAAATTGTTATATATTATCTAGTACTTTGAGAAGGAATTTGGAAATAAATAGACAAAAATTACTTTCAAAATATTTCCTAAGTGTACTTTATTTTATTTATAAGGTAATTCGGTTACCAGGAGGCTGTAACACTGAACAAATTTTTGGCTTCACTTTGGCCAACATTGAAGCTGACAGTCCGCAAGGCAGTTTTGAATGTTTGCAACAGAAAGGGTCAAGGTAAGAATAGCTTTAATTTTTTTGTTCAACTAATTGCTGACTTTTTTGTATTAGCTACTAAAGGAATTCTTTAGTTAGTTTAAATATTGGTTTTTGTTTGTTTTATAAGATGACCAACTTTATCTCAAGATGGCAGTGTTCGATTAGTGGTTGAAAGATTGTATGTAATAGGACTGTTGATTATTTAGATGCCTGTACATAGGTCTGTACTGTCAGGCTAGCAGAAAATGCATTGTGGTTATTAGTCCAATTTATGACAAATCACAATCTGTTTACATGTGAACAGTATTAAGAATCTTAAAATGTGTATGTTTGAAGATGTCTATTTAATAGTCACCAATAACATCTTTCATAATATTTTATATTAATAACTTTCATTTATTAAAATCTATTACCAGTTTGAAACTATCTAGATAAGTTAATTTAATGTAAAAATTTTGTATTTTATAAATAGTTGAAGTGTGAGAAGTGAGTAACGGTGAATAGAAGCTTTCATCCTTGCTTACATGGTGTTTTTTATATTTAATAGATTGTGTAACTGTTATTCATGGTTTGTTTATTCTTCTTTTCTTCAGGCTGCTCGATTCATTAGGTTCCATGACGTACAAGATGCATATCTGTGCTAATGAGGATAGTTACCAAAACACACGAGTTAAAATGACAGTTGCAGAACAAGAGAACAAGAAAAATTGGTCAGTGTGGGAGCTTGTCTACTTCATAGAACCGAATCCTGTAACTAGTGACATTTTGATAAGTTTTATCAAATTGTAGACAATTGTTAGACCAGATAGTAACAAGAAAAATGGAACACAATTAAATAGAAATCATGTATACCTTGTCTTCCACTGATAAAAATGCCAGATTTTGTAATTTGTTTTTTAATAGATGTAGTTGTACACTGTTTGTTTAAGATTTAATAAGATAAGTATTTGTTTAAAACTGTTTTTATGATTTCTTTTTTCACCGCTTATTCCATGTGTCTGTTTGTTGAAGGTAAGTTTGACAATTCACAAAAAAAATGAAAAGCTGTTGTGGTTCTTGTAGTTATTCTTATATATGTACATACAAGTACAAACGTGAAAGTTATTAGATAAAGTACAGATATTTTAATGAAGGACATTGAGAGATAATGCATTGCAACAACATAACTCTTATCAGTAAAATATTATAAATGTAGCACATACAATATATCATCTTGATTAAAGTTAAAAGTAATTAGCATTCATCAAGGTCTTGATCTTAAAACTGTCCAGGCTCCAGGATTGTGGAAATTTACTCTAGGTTTAAACCATATACCATAAAGACAACTTAATTTTCATTATATTTGCATTAGAGGAATAGAAAAGATGTTTTAAAGTTTATATAATGAAGTTAAAATGTGGGTGAAGCTGCAGGAACTATGTCACCATCATGACTAGAATGTATCATTAAATTTACCCAATTCTTTTCTGTAGAAGTTAAATTTATAGAATATGTAGCCCGTTGGTTTGGCTTTAAAATGTAATAAGATGAGTAAAAAAGTAAAACTTAACAACCACTCAAACTGAAATGATTTGATTGCAAAAGATTTTGTTCCTGAAATGGTTTAATATATTTCAATGCTTGATTTAAGTTTGTATTATTTATGCACCACACCATTTGAATACATATTTCTGTTTTGTGTTATATTGTACAGACTCCATGTCTTTTATAATAAGATGCAAAATTTTGTAGATACGTCATAGGGTGTGGGTAATAGCATTCTAAAGCATGTACAAATAGTTGGAAAACTTGTAGTTTGGAGCTTATGATGTACCTAAGCAAGAAAATGTTTTTTAAAATTCTCTTGTAAGAAGAGAAATAATAGAACTTACAGTAAGGTGTATAATTTTCCAGCCCACACTTTGGAAAATAGCAATAGGTGCATCATGAAAATGGGCTCTCTTCATTGATGAGTAAGATGATATTTTAGAGAACTCATTTTGAAGAATCTCATATGTTGAAATACAGTTTTACTCTATCTTCTCCTCCTAATTTAGTTATGCTTTCAGTTATTTACATGTATGTTGAGAATTATTTTATTCACTTATTAACTACTAGTGTGATAATGACATTGATTTTGTTTTTGTTGCAGCACAAAGATTATCAAGGAATCAGGACCATATGTAGGTCAGTCTTAATTATTTTGTGTAGTGTAGTAAATGGTATAGAGTAAGCAAACATAATGTGACTAAAAAAGACCACAATTAAATTTCTGGTTTCAAGGAGGGAGAATTAATTTATCATTAGGTGTGGTCAAACCTGTTAGAAAAAATCAACCACGTTTCATCATTTGTTTTGCTACAAGAACAGAGCAGTTTAAAAGTACTTTGTATTTCTAACTGCAAAAAAATGAATACATAAAGCACATTTAGATCTAAATAACATGAATTATTAAATGAAGTTACGGTTTTTTTTGTGGGGGGGCCTTTGGTTATTAAAAATTTAACTCTTACACTTTAATGCAGAAATGCAGGATAACAATTGAAAAGGAAAATGATATATAAAAGCTAACAAATGGAATATTTCTCTGTAGATTAAACAGTGCATTAATTCTGGAATGTCATCACAACCATAAGGAACCAGTTGTGGCCTTGTGGTTATTGTACCAGACTGTGGATCCAAGGATCCATGTTTCATGTTATCTTGCAAAATTACAAACTACACTTTGATCTAAATATTTACTTTTATACTTGGGTTGAAGAACAAAATTATGTTATTCTGTTGTGAAATACAAATCCACCAGTAAGGCTGTATCATAACTTTTCCAAGGCTTTTTTTATAGTTTTATTTACCATGATTTAGTGTAAAACAAATGTGAATCAGAGGTGAAAATATGTCTTACATGTCTACTTATATCAATCCAAAATGTATTGGCCCGGCATGGCCAGGTGGTTAGGGAGCTCGACTTGCAATCTGTGGGTCTCGGGGGTCGAATCCCCGTCCCACCAAAAGCGCTCACCCTTTCAGCCGTGGGGGCATTATAATGTGACGATCAATCCCACTATTCATTGGTAAAAGAGTAGTCCAAGAGTTGGCGTTGGGTGGTAATGACTAGCTGCCTTCCCTCTAGTCTTACACTGCTAAATGGCTAGTGCATGAACGCCCTCGTGTAGCTTTGCACGAAATTCAAAACAAACAAACAAACAAATCAAACCATAATGTGTTTTAAATTGTCTTCCTTTTGATGTACAAGATGATGTTGAGCTAATAGGAACTGCACCTGTGATCTGTTGGAGTGTACAACTTCCAGCTTCAATTGTCTTTTGCATGCTACCTATTGACATTGATTAGGGCATCATATAATTAGAGAGAATTTCTAATTATACTTATTTTTAAAATATATACAACTGTAGTAATTCTTCATTTTGGCTAATATATAGGATTGCTACCAGTGCACTTTTGTTATTACAACCATCTTTGATGTTAAAAATAATAAATACAACAAGACTCGAAGAAATAAGAAAAGTAGTAGTCATTAAATATTATCCAATTTGATCGTGCAAATGCGAGCATATAAGAGTGGAAAAAATACATTTTAATCAACGTTTTTTCTTTAGGAAGAAAGGTGAAAATGAAAACGTCAGTTGCATCTATTCCTCTACCAAAACCTTCCAGCCTTCTTTCATATTCTGCCTTATCAACTTCAAAGCCTGCACCTAAACCTTTGTCTGTGTCAGGTAGTTCACGTCTAAGTCAGGCTGGAAGTTCTCATGCTAAGGCAACAGTTTACCAAAAGTCCCTTAATCCGGACATTTTAAAAAGAACTTATAGGTTTGTGTTGGTTTGAAAATATTTTGTACTACTTTTATATTTACTTTATTCATCGTACTTCAAACTCTTCAAAATAAACTTGAAAATATATTTTTTTACTTATTGATGCATATGAATAATTATAGTTACCAATATTTTATCAAACAATGAATGTGTATACCATTTCTTCCCGTATAAAAATAATAAGTAACCAGCGTATAAAACTGGGACCATTTGTTCAACAGTTATCATAACAGTATACATCAATAATAATAATTTAAATAAGATCCTTATCTACAGTTTTAAGAATATTGTTCAGTCAGGAGTAAACAGTAGGTTGACCCAGAGTATTTTTAAACTGTTCCAGTGTTAAGAAATTATGCTATTCACACACCCTAGAATATACCCCTAGAAACAAAAAAAAAAGAAGAATGGGATTATACTTTACGATGTAGTAAACACTTAAATTTCAGAAAGAAAAATAGCTCTGCTTTGATTGTTAACTTACTTGTAGTTGAGTTTGATGATTTTGTATTTATGTGAATGCTTTATTTTGTAAAAATGATTATGTTAATAATGTAAATAAAAATATGAACATATTTAAAGCACAACTAAATACATTTCTCCTAAACTATATCTTACAGAGAACGTGTAATTCATCTGCTTGCACTCAGGCCATACAAGAAACCAGAACTCCTTGCAAGGTTAATGAGAGGTATGTTGGTTAGGTTTTAGTTTTCTCTTAATATTGATTAAGAACACCTTTTGGAGCTTTTTGTTAATAAACACAAAAATATTGTGTACACCAGGCATGAGGCTATTTGCATTGTGGTAAGGTTAATAACCATGCAGATGATAGTTAGCTAAACTTTTATTAAATCTGTTACAATAAAAGTTAAAAAGATTACTTGAAATACTTAAAAATTAATATTATATCTGTACTCAGATTCACTCAGAGGGTTGTATTGTGCTACAAAGTCTAAGATGCCAGTTTGGTAAAATAAAACTCTTTAAATTATTTGAAAGAAAGGAGGAAAATCCAGTCAGACTCCTGGAATTATGGGATTTGTTAAAGTTATCTTATTTTTCTAATTTTGTTGTATGTGTATATAGATAGATAGATACATACAAAAAGAGAGAGAGAGAGGATAGATGGATGGACAGGTAGATGATAAAAATGGCGAGATAAAAGTAGGCACATGTTATCAAGGGATTGATGTGATGTGCTTTTCAAATAGATATATATAAAATACATTTGGAAAGCTTTATTTGCCTCTACTATCAATAGGAAGATTTTAAAGCATCACTTTTTAAGTTTTATTTTTCTCAAATTACTTTGAATTACAGATGGGATTAAAGAGAAAGACAAGAAGGGTCTCAGTGCAATATTGAGCCAGGTAGCAGTTCTTAGAGATAATACTTTTCACCTCGCTCGTCATGTTTGGAATGATGTTTGTGATGACTGGCCATTTTATGGTGCTGAAGAACTGAAGCAGATGAAGAGGTAGATGAAGTCAAAGAGATGTGAAATTGATTTGTTGCACTCAGAACAGTTTGTTTTTAATACATACTTTTTGATACATCAAGTATGCAATAAATTAACAGTATTATAGTAATTAGTAATAAGTTTATTGTGTTTTTTTAGCCATTAATTTACTATACATACAACTTATTATTATATTTGAAATACTTTTTCTGAGATGGTAGTTTATAATGTATTGTAAAAATATATGATTTTCACTAGTTCATGGATAGAATATAGTTTTTAAGCACTTATACTTAAAACATTAATTAGTGGTGGGAATTGGTTATGAAATCATTTTTGATGATTGGTTTGGTATAACCAATTAATCTTTGGTTATTGGTAGCAATGTAACTATTAATTAAACAGCCCTATGTAATAAATTATTTTAATGAATAACATTGAAGGTTTTCTTAATTAAGAATCATCTTCTTAATTATTCTGGCTTCTGCTGCTATGAGATTCAGCATTTGCCACCATTACAGTATGACCTCTAATCTCGATTCTGACATGCCCACTCATTAGCCAATAACAGGTGCTGATACATATGGTAACAACATGGCAAAGTGGTTAAGGTGCTTGACTCACAATTTGAGGGTCGTGGGTTCAAATCCATGTGCCACCAAACATACTCACCTTTTCAGCCATGGGGGCATTATAAGTGATGGTTAATCCCACTATTCATTAGTAAAAGAGTATCCCAAGAGTTGGAAATGGCTAGTGATAACTAGCTGCCTTCCCTCTAGTCTTTAATTGCTAAATTAAGGGCGGCTAGTGCAGATAGCCCTCGTGTAGCTTTTGTGCGAAATTCAAAAACAAACAAACAATATGCCATGAATACTTAATATGAGAGAGAGAAGAAGGAATTTCTGTTGGAGAGGGGTTTCTCAGTGTGGAGTTTGTTTATGCAGTCAGAAACACTTTTGAATGGAACATATCATAAAAGTTGTTTTGTTCTCTGTTTCTAGAAATGTTTGTCAAAATACTAATCATGCTTTTGGTTAATACTAAAAAGTTGACCAGTTTTTGATATAATAGATGATTACATATATTACTAACACCTATAACATATAATATATTTTCAATTTATATATATTTTGTTATATTAAAAATATTTCTTTTAAAAATGAACAGTTTTCTTGTTTTCTTTAAATTGGACCTCCATTGGGGCAGCTATAAGTTTATGGACTTGCATAATGCAATTCAGGATTCAATTCCTCATGGTGGACAGAGCACAGATAGCCTATTATGTAGCTTTGTGCTAAGATAAATAACATTAAATTTATTTATTTTTCAGTGATGGGTTATCACACTCAGTCTTAATGTATATTTCTTTTAGTCTTGTATATTGAACATATAAATAGAACGTGAGGCTTAATTTCTGTAACATTACCATGTGTTTATACATAATGTTTTTTAATGACAACATCTTTTTACATTGGATAAGAAAAATCCTATATTTTTTATGCACTTTGTTCTTGCTTTTCATACGTTCCTATATTTTACTCATAATAAATACTTCTGCAGTTCTAAAAATATTTAAGTTACAAAAGAAAGTTAATATTGAATAATGTTCCATTTTATTATGCTAAGTTTTGACTGTACGAGGTAATGAGATTAGAAATACTGTTTCGTTTTCTCCTCTGTTGTATCCGCACTTACAGTGAACTTCCAGAATTAATGTATAGAATGTTGTATCTGCTCTTTCAGTGGTTATACGTACAGTACATACCCAGTTTGTTATTCCAAAATCGAAATTGAAAACCATTTTAAAGTAAAAAATATGAACATTTTCTTTTATGCTCATGCTATTTTTTTATTAAAATTTTGACTAAAGTTGAAGCTTTTGTTTTTCGTTCTGCTAAGGTTTAAAAATATCTTAATACCTAAATATTTATAAAAGCTGGAAGAGATTTCATTTTAGAATCTTGGTAATATCTGTTTCCCACTTAGATAATTTACCTCTATTTTTTATAAAGCAATACTTTTTTAACATTTATAATAAAACACCATGTTTCACAGTACAATTTTAATAATACATTTTCTTTGTTATCTTGTTAGAGAATCCAAAGATATAAAACCAAGTCTTCACAAGTAGCAGTGCTAGAACATTCTCATTGTCTTCAGTAATACTGATTTCCTTTAACACAGATTTATTAACTTCTTCAAACTGATCAACATACATAGAAAATAATTTTTAGCTAAGTATATTTTGATATTTTTCTCTCCATTGCTCAAGGGAATTACCCACGATTTATAGAGTATGGAAATAACAAACTGCTCACTCATAAACCACACAACACTTCCACAAGTTAAGTTTATTTTGGATAGTGTGGCAAGCTGTTATAATTTGGAAATAACGTTTTAAAAGTATTGTTGGTGAATGAAATCTGTTGAACTATCACAAATGAATCAATGCTCATTACCTAAAACCTCTTAATCAGATTATGTGGTTGTCTCTTCAAACCATTTAATTTTTTTCCTTTGAAGACTAAATGGCTTTTTTTTTTTTTATTTTTTTTTTAAAACTTAATTTTTTATATTTTT